GACTTTGCGGGGTGCAGTATTTTTTTTCTTTATTAGTGAAAACAATTTTCATCTATATGGAGGAACCCATGTATTTCTATAGCATTTCTGACAGACTTCTTTTCTACCATACATTTGGAGGTTGGGATCTACTTTAAAAAAACCTTAAAGCAACAAAATTTTTATCAATCATCCTAAATAAAAATAAATTTACAAAAAAAAAGAGAAAATGGGTATAGAAAAAAAATTGGTTAATCTCATATCGGTTTCTCGCACGCGCGCATCTCTGTTGGAAATGTTTTACGACATAGGCAAAAAGAGAGGCCATTATAATATACAGCGCGAGATATACCTCTTTACTCGCGGCTCTCTTGCGCTGACTAAAAATCGACAAACAATCTATTCCAAGGAGGATAATATAAGCGCAAACGGTCATATATATATGTATATATACCTGTATGTTGACGAGGCGTTACAGATGATAAGTCGTCGTTTGCGATGATGTCGGCGGCGGCGGCTTTCTGTGAAAATTTCGGCGTAACTCAAAAGCTAAGACAAACATGGGCGTGTTTCATGACAACCGCCAGGTCGGTAAATCCGGTAAAGAAATAAGGCATAACGCAGAGAGTCAAAGTACATAGATATATTATATATATATATATACACCTGTGAAATATATCAAAATTCTTTCGATAAACATTTTCAATCAAAATTTGAAAAATAGTAAAGGTTTAATTAATTATATTTGGTATTAATTAATTTACCTACTAGTTCTACAAAGTACATAATTATTATACTTTAAAGGGAGAATTAAAAAATACCCAGGCATGGGGAATCGAACCCTAGACCCCTAAGGACAAGTAAACGACGAACATGACCACGCAGCCACAGTGACTTTTAATGATTCTTTTTTTTCTTTCTTTCTTCGCACTTGTATATATTATATATAATCGACTAATTTTTAAATAAATTAGAAAAATTCAAATATTTTTTACTCGTTTTCCATTGTTTCTATTGGTATAAACCAAAAATATTTTAAATGGAAAAAAATAATTTATTAATAAAATTAAAAATAGAAATATTTAATGTATCATTACATGTGATTTTTAAGATGTGTATAACCGCACAATGAATACAATGAGCATCCTTGAGATTTAAGCGGGAGTGATTAGCGGTATTATAAAGCGTTATTAGTATATCATATATAGCAGTTTAATGAACAGTCATGCCGCCATTTTCTTTCTTTTTACATTTTTACCTGTACATTATAATCTACAGATGATGCACAACGTGCCATTTTATTGGCTTAGATCTTGTATATACTGACTATATACATATATACGCACGTCTTTAATATTATTGTTACGCGCGACTCACTATTCCTTATACGGCAACTCCATGACGCATTGTCAATTATTTCTGCTATTAAGTCCATTTTTGTAACGTGAGAAATATTATTCCTTACCATCTCTATATATATATGTGACACTCCATGAGATCTGAAGTCAAAAAAAAATTTTAGGTTATGTTTAATGATAGTTTTTAATTTTTTAATCATATAATTAGAAAAAAAACAATCACTAAACATAACCTAAAATTTTTTTTTTACTTATCTTGTCGAGTGTCACATATATGGATGAGCCATAAATTGTTTGCGCAAATACAATTCAAAATAAATGTAGAATTATTTGTAATTTTTAGATTAAAATATTACTTTCAAAATTTAATTATTTTTGAAAATTTTTAAAAGAAAAAAAAGAGGGGGAAATAAAGGGCCCCAGCCAACGCCCTTTATAGTGAGGTACAACCATCTTTACTGCTTTTAAAAAACTCATGCAGTGAATTTAATATTTATCACATGTGATTTTTAAATGCAGTTTATTTACCTCTCCTTAAGGAAAGGGATAAAAGGAAAATGGTAATAATGGCTGTTGGTAGTAATACCTATAACTTAACCTAACCCAACCTATCCTAACCTAACCTATCCTAACCTAACATAACCTAAAGGTTTTTGTTTACATTTATAAATAGTACAAGTAAAACGACTTTAAGTAATAAAGTTTTCTAAAGTTTCCGAGTTTTCAGTGATGCAATTTCCCGGGAACTTTTTCACGTGGGGATGACTGTTAAAATCCGGATTTACTATATTTATATACAGATTTACTCTTATTTATATCATATATGCAATAATTGAGAAAAATTTTACAATCGAAATTTTATTTTGCAAAAGGCATAAATTCCTATAAGAAGAAAGATTATATTTGAATTTTAAAAACCAAAATCTGTTTAAACGACGTTATCGTTCTTTTTTTCATAAAAATAGAAAAATGAATGAACGCATTTATTGATGAGCGAAATATATATATATATATATTTTTTTTGTGCGTGCGCATACATAAAGTTATTCAAGCGGTTGGAAAGTAATCGATGAATTTTACGTTCATCGACGAAAGGTATAGTTTTTACGAGCTGGTTCGAGATAAAAGGGGTTGCTTTATCGGTTGGGGACTTATATACCATCAGAGAGGTGAGTGTATATGAGGGACCATTTTCAATGTCCCATATGTGTATATATATATATATACGTTGTTGGGACATTATACAATTCGTGCATGGAGGTCCATTTCCAATGCGCGCGAAACGATGGACACGCGTGGGCGAAAAAAACGAGAGAGAGAGAGAGAGAAACGCGCACACGTTTCAGAAGGATGTGTGTAAAATAACTTATGGTAATCCCCCCATATAGTTGTGTTTGTACCAGTGCAAGCTTGTCTCGCCGATAAATCGTTCACCTTGGCCTTCCGCAAGCATTTCTTTCTTTTCACATATATATAGATGATTTTTGCTCGACAATTATATGTATGTTTGCGTGACAATACCCATATGTGAATTATTTTTTTGTATCCTATTATAAAAAAAACATTAAACAAAAATATGTTATTCTCTGGGCGATCAGATGTTGGCTTTATCATTTGTTTTTAACTTTTATATTTTTTTTGTTTCAGATGCGACTGTGGACATAAAAGAAGATATAAGAAAAAAGGTGTTTTATATTAATGATGAATAACAAATAATAGAAAAAGAATAATAATTTCTTTACCGACAGAAAAGAAATTCCCGAATCTGATTGGTTGACGGCAATTAGAATTATGGACAATCAATCAAATTTGTTCATTTCTGTAGATAACTTTTTTTTTCTTCTGACAAACGTTTAAATAACCCTTTACATTTTATTTTACTAAAAAGAATAGTCCATCTGCCTGATTCGTGTAAGAATAAAAATATAATTTTGCAAATTTCCTGCATTTGGTTTCGGACTTCAGTGAATAAAAATAAATTTTTTTATTATGTGTGGCAGTTTTGCAAATTTTCTGGAATTGGTTTCGGACTTAAGTGAATAAAAATAAATTTTTTTATTATGTGTGGCAGTTTTGCAAATTTTCTCGAATTGGTTTCGGACTTAGGTGAATAAAAATAAATTTTTTTATTATGTGTGGCAGTTTTGCAAATTTTCTGCAATTGGTTTCGGACTTATGTGAATAAAAATAATTTTTTTTATTATTTTGGCAGTTTTGCAAATTTTTTGCAATTGGTTTTGGACTTAAGTGAATAAAAATAAATAAAATAACAAGATTAATATTAAAATTGATTATCTATTTTTAGGAAAATTTTTGTTTAATATAAAAAATTATTTGTGGCCGTTTTACAAATTTTCTGCAATTGGTTTTTGACTTAAGTGAATAAAAATAAATAAAATAACAAGATTAATATTAAAATTGATTATCTATTTTTAGGAAAATTTTTGTTAAATATAAAAAATTATGTGTGGCAGTTTTACAAATTTTCTGGAACTGGTTTCGGACTTAAGAGAGTAAAATTATTAATGACGGGGGAAATAAAAATTTTTGAATTAAAAACGTTAATTTTTTATAATTAATCATGATAAAGCTGACAAGTCGCTTCTGAAGATTCATCCTCATCCAATGTACCATAATATCTATCTATCTATCTATCTAAACAATCAGTGTGAAAAACGGACATATGAGCGTTTCTCATTTTTTCATGTCCTTCATTTTCTTTATTTTTTTTTTATTTTAACTTTACTCAAGCGAACAAGAAATCATTATCGTGAATAATCGACGTCACGTCAATGCGATTAATGCTTTTCATTGATCATATATAAAGTACGCCGTTCAAAGGCGGTAGGATTGCTTTATTGCTATTATTATCGTTGTAAAACATGTATCCGACTTCCGATCAAGGTTCGAGTATCGAAGCCATCAATCAAAAAGAAACTCGCATTTCTAAAGAAATATATATATATATATATATATATTATTGTAATTATATTCTTATTATACAATTTAGACATTTAATTTTTTTCTTCTTCAATATAAATTGAATAATTGTGAAGAATAAATTACTACAAATTTTGATTGACTCATTAATAGTTTATTACAATTTTCATTCATTATTGTTATTACTAAATTATTAAGTATATTTTATTTGTAAACATAAATTATGTGTTTAAAAAAGCGCTTCTTTGAAAAATTTGAAAGGAAAAACTACTTTAAGAACGCGTGGCTCCATCTAACGAGAACTCTTAAAAATTTGACCCGATCTGTCGATAAAGAATTTTAAAATTACCTACAGATGGTAAAAATTATGGGTTTTCATTTACCATTCGTTGATAAATTGTTTACAGTTGGTAACATTGTTTAGTTATCGACCAGTAATAAATTATAAATTATTCATTCCTTCCTTTTAGTGTTTAAATAATCATCATTATCATCATTATCTTTCTTTTTAAAAATTGCAAAAATTTCCTTATAAATTTTTTTAAAAATTAATTTTATTCTTAACATAAAGAAAATGTAATTAGAATTAATTAATTTTTTTTATTTTATTCAATAAATTAGAATTAATATAATTATATTTCATTAAAACAAAAATAATAATAAATTTATTATTATTTTTTATCTATCACGAAAATATTAAGAATTCGTAATTAAAAAAGGGTGAAATTTTTCGATTCTATTTTTTATTGTTCTCTTCTTAGTTATAATTTACAAAAAAAAACATTCTTAAATCAACGCTTCGTATAAATCTAAAAATATATATAGGCACTTAATTAAGGCGTAAAATTACGTCCTAAAAAATAACAGGAAAGCTGCAATTACAATCATACATTTGAAATGTCATTTTTTGCGTCGCTTTCGTTGTATACATATATATATAATAAAAAAAAAATTGTACATTTTTATGAATGAACTATTCATATATCAATTTGTTTTCAAAAAAACATTTATTCTATAAATATTAGGGACGGAGTTATTCGACTTCGCGTCACTATTATATATTGCAATTTTCTAAACGAAAAAATAACGTCATATTGGAAGACCTTAATTTTCATACACACACACACATACATACATACATACATATACAAAAATTATCACATATAATGAAAAAAAAATTCTTTTTTTAAAAAATTCAACGTCCCAGGGGGTGAAAAATTTTTGAAAATTTTCAATTTACAAAAATCTTTTTGCTCATGTTTTTTTTATTTTTGAAAAATAGTGGATAGAAAAAAAAAAGAAAGAATTTGTGACGCAATGGCATTTGTGGTCTATATGCATTTTGAACCAAGAAAAAGAATCACTTAATGTTCATCCTTCGGAGAAGAAAGGAACTGCCAAAAATTGTGAGAAGGGTCCGAAAAGATTTTTAAGAGTTCTTAAGTTCGAGAGCAGGTATATAGTAGTATAAAAACCAAGATTTTAAAAGTTGTTCGAAACATTGGTTTTACTGGTATTGCACCTGCCACCGAAACAGTGGCACATGTTTCTCACGTGACCACAAAAATTTGCATTCTCTTTTATATTTAAAATTTACACATATCCAACAAGGACAAAGAATCTGGTTTTTTAAATTTCTATTTTTTTTGTCTCAATCTTTTTCTTCTTTTACAAAAAAAAAAAAAATTTCTTTTAAATTCACCGCGCTCACGAAATCGAACTCACATCCTATAACTTTGAGTTCTGTTTAAAAAAAATAAGAAAATTTCTATTATCATTTTTTTCAAATTTTTTAATTTGTTTACATTTTTTTTCAATTTTTATCTTTCTGTAACATTTATTTTTAATTGATAGAAAATTTTCTTTTTTTTTGTTGTAAAGATTTAAAATGTGATAAAACTAATTTGTTGATAATATTCGGGATTTTTTGTGTAAAATATCAATTGTCAATGGATTTAAAATTTTTTTTTTTTTTTTTAAATAGAATCTCAAAGCCGTCGACTATTTCTACCTGTATATATAGACACCTGCATAAAAGGTGTATATAATATGTACATATATACGTGAAAAACCTATGTAAACTCGAAGGTAGACGATATCTGTGTATTTTTGTCTTCGCAGCGTGAAAAATATGAAAACAATGATAAACGATAGAATTGAGTTTGGAAATTTGAAACCAAAATTCGAGGAAGTTGATGTGTTTTCTTTTCTGTTTGACATATATATGATTTTTTGTACTTCACACTTTCCTTTAATATGTATTTTTCAAATTATACTATATATTTCCCTGAAAAAAACGAATCTTTTGTTTTCTTTGTTATTTTTAAACTTCATTTTCAAATTTCCAAAACTTTGAAGTTAATAAAACATTTTTTTTAGACACAATTTTTCAAAAAAAAAAAAAAAACTTATTTTCTACCAATAGAATTTTGTAACGAACAAAAACTGAGAATTAACAATATAAATTAAAAAAAAAAAAAAATTAAAAATTTCACAAAATTTTCTATTCACATTAGTTACTTCGAAAAAAATTACTACTTATAAATAAAAATTCTGTTGATCTCTTAAAATGTAAAAAAAAGCTACCACTGAGCACCGGTATAAAATACGCATCACGTAACATTTAAAATGAAAATGTATTATAACATAAGCCACAGATCTTCGCTTATGTGATATCACATATATCAGGTTCTTGTCGCATCAACACATTTTAATCAAATATTTTAAAAGTTATAAACGATTGATTTTAATAAACAGCATGTGCTATTAACAAATTTTTTTTTCCTTCTTTTTTTTTTTAAATCTAAATGTCAGTCATTGTCGAGGAAGACAAATTTAAAAATACATTTTTATTTTTAATAAAAAAGCAATCTTAAATATATCTAGTTTTTACATTTTAAGTATATTTATATATATAATATATTCGCTATGCATTTTATATACACAAAACTATATTATAGAAAAACACTTTTAAAATTTATCATTAAAATATTCATTTTCTCAAAAAAATTTTCAAGTTTGAAAAATTTTTAATAAAATCTATTATTTATTATTAAAATAATTATAAAAAAAATAACTATATAAGATAATTTTAAGAAAAAAAATCGAAAACAATATACTTTGTAAAGTGTTTTAAAAATATAATTTTCACCGGTTATAGATATTTTAATACATTTTTACAAAGTTTTGTCCACCTCTAAATATGTTTAAAAAAAAAAAAAAAAAACAATGACTGATCGTATATCATTCATAAAAATTAATAATTATTAAAAACTAGAAAACATAAAAAAAACGCTATACGTTTTTTTTGCCGCTGGTTAATAATATCACTGGAAAAGAAAAAAAATTATTTAAAATTGCACCTTTAGCGCGGAGTTTTATATATATAAAAAAAAAAACGATTTCGTATAATTATAAATTCGTTCACCTCTCTCGTATGGAGGCGCAGAAAAATTGAACGCCGAGTGCTTTCTACGCCAACGCTCTTATAATCTATTAACAGTTTAACGGAAATAGCGATTTTAAAAATTATATATATATATGTATATACATATATAATATACTCGCATGATTTTTTTTCCTTAGTATTAAACTCTTCATTTCGAAAAATGAATAAATTGTACTTAATAAAATTGCCTTCAATTGAATATGACATTGCTTTTGTATTAATTAAGAAGCAAAAAGGGAAGCAGAACTTTACCGAAATGCTGTTGTCAACTATTTCCATAGCAATCGTTACTAAGGAACTGTTTCCGTAGCAACCGTTTCCATGGCAACGATTACTAAGGAACTGTTTCCATAGCAACCGTTTCCATGGCAACGATTACTAAGGAACTGTTTCCATGGCAACGGTTACTAAGGAACTGTTTCCGTAGCAACTGTTTCCATGGCAACGATTACTAAGGAACTGTTTCCATAGCAACCGTTTCCATGGCAATGGTTACTAAGGAACTGTTTCCGTAGCAACCGTTTCCATGGCAACGATTACTAAGGAACTGTTTCCATAGCAACCGTTTCCATGGCAACGATTACTAAGGAACTGTTTCCATGGCAACGGTTACTAAGGAACTGTTTCCGTAGCAACTGTTTCCATGGCAACGATTACTAAGGAACTGTTTCCGTAGCAACCGTTTCCATGGCAACGATTACTAAGAAACTGTTTCCATAGCAACCGTTTCCATGGCAACGGTTACTATGGCAACTGTTTCTATGGCAACGATTCCATAGCAACCGTTTCCATGGCAACTGTTTCCATGGCGACGGTTACTATGGCAATAATTCCATAGCAACACTTTCCATGGCAACGGTTACTAAGGCAACTATTTCCGTAGCCACTGTTTCCATGGCAACTATTTCCGTAGCAACCGTTTCCATGGCGACGGTTACTATGGCAACTGTTTCCGTTGTAACCGGTTTCACAGTAACTTGAAAAATTTTTAAATTGTTGTTCATCTTGGCCTCAATACCCTAAGATGGAGATCTGCTTCTCCAATATTTTCATTTTGACAAAATATTAATAATTAATTATTCCAACTTCCAATCTTTGTTCTCAATTAATAAACAAAATTTTTTAATAAAAATCAATAATTGGATTTTTATATTACCCAAAAAAAAAATTCCCATTACTCTATCGACGCATAATATCGGCAATGGTGAAACCTTGCCTCGCGGGTGTTGGTCTAGGTGGAGGATGAGCTGGTGTTTGAGGAGTAGGTGCCCTGGGAGGTCGAACTTCCTCTTCACGTTCCCTCTCACGTTCACGTTCTCTTTCCCTCTGTCTTTCTCTCTCGAATTGTCTCTCTCTTTCCAATTCTCTCTCCATTTCGCGTTCTCTCTCCTTTTCTCTTTCCTGTAATTCCAAAAGAACACGAGATGGACCCGGTGAACCAAGCCTTCGTCGATATGATGACAATATTAATGGTGGAGGCGGTGGCAATGGTGGTGGTGGATTTTGTGTAACAGCCAAATTTCCACTGTTCACTGTTAATGATGATGGTGGTTTCACCTGAAGAAGATCTCTTCTTATTTGCAACTGTGGCCTTGATGGCGTCGATTGAGGATTGGAATAATTTATCGATGATCCTGATGATGATGATGATGATGTGGAAGGATTTATTGATGAATTCGATGAACAGGATGAGGAGGAGGTTGATGGACCAGGTTCTGGAGCACCGTCCTCCTCGGGACTGTCTTCATCGCGTAGTGCCTCTTCTAATGCCTCAGGTGGAACATCACCAACAGCATGTGTTAATGCGTGTCTTCGAAGATCACAATTTCTGCGAAATACCTTACCACAAGATGTACACTCATAGGGTTTATGATCCGTGTGAGTTAAAAGATGTGTCTTTAAATTTGAACGTTGATTAAAACTTCGTGCACAAACCGGACACTTATGTGGTGACTCCTCCATGTGTAGAATTTTGTGTACCGCCAATGTTCGACTTTGACAAAATCCTTTGCCACATTCACCACATTTAAATGGTTTCTCCTTACTGTGAATATATCTAAAAGAAAAATATTTCATCATTACTTATATATATATATCTCTCAAGGGGGAAATATTCAAAAAAGAAAATTACTTACCGATGATCCCTGAGATGATCCTGTCTTCTAAATGCCTTTCCACAAATATCACACGAATAGGGCCTCTCATCAGTGTGCGTTCTCTCGTGTATAAGTAAATTGTAGCTCTTGGTGAATTGTCGATTGCAAAATTTACAAATAAATTGCTTTTTTGGTCGGGAAGCTCTTCCTGGTGCGCGAAGAAGTCGACGATCAAGATGCTGATGTGCAAGAGGACCACCAGGTGGATAGAGAGCTGAACCACCAGGAAATGGTCCTGAAAAAACTGGATAACCAGGTGGTGGTTCAAGAAGTGGTGGAGGTGGCAATAGAAGACCCCTGGCTGCTAATTCTTTTCTTTTGTCAGCCATCATTGCCATTATCTCATAACTTGATGATGTTTTTCTTCCTGATGATTCTGGATTCTCATGATCGGTATTTGATGATGATGATGAACTCGATTGTGGCGGTGCGGTTAAATGATGCATCTCACCGGGATATGGAGCTAGATGAAGTCTCGATGGTACTACAGGTACAAACGCAGATGATTCACGATGATGTGGATGACCTAAACCAGCCACTAAACTATGATGATGATGATGATACGCCGCTAATGCTCCCGATGGATCAAAATTTCTTGATGATGAAGATGGACCAGCATTTGATGAGGAACTTGACGATGGTCTTGGACCCAACATATCGCGACCTCTGGAGGAATCATCCACGGCAGAGGCCGACGACACCACAAGATCTGTCGGCATTTTTTTCAACTGGAATAAAATATTTATTTTAGATATTTTTTTTGTTAGCTGATAATTGGTTACAAAACAAAAATTAGAGCTAATCTCAATTATTAATAATCAAAACAAGTTTAAAAAATTTCGTTTATAAAATGACACTGAAAAACGGTTTCTTCCTTTTTGATTGTATCTATTATTTTTGTTATGGTAAATTTTGTTTCAGATGGTATTTAATTGTTTCTAATGTTATCTATATATTAATCTGAATTACTGTTGTTTTAGGTGTATAGTATTGGTTATTAAGCTGTAACTGTTTTGATGCTGCTTAAATAGTATCTGCTGTTTTTGATATAGTATCTGCTATTTTGGATAGTTTCTAAAATTTTGGATATAGTATATGTTGTTTCAGATGCTGTATTATTCCTAAAAGAGATTATACAGATTAAAAATTTTTCTTGCATGTTTAAAATCAGAATTTTTTATTCAGTATTCACTCTTTTGGATGTCGTCCAAAAATTTAGTATAGGATAACAAATTTTTTTGGATTATTTTCTTTTATTAGGTATGATAACAGTTGATTTTAATGGTATCTATTGTTCTAGATAATATCTGTTCTTTTGGATAGCATCCGTTAGTTTGGATAGTATCCGTCAGTTTTGATAGCATCCATTATTTCGGATAGCATCTGTTATTTTGAATAACATCTGTAAATTTGAATAGATAAATTCAAATGTTTTTTTGTTTACTATTTACTCTTTCAGATGCCATCCAAATTTATAGTAAGATATCAAATTTATACAGCATCATAGACAAATTGTAGTATATTTTTTATGGTACTTTTGATTTCGGATAAGGTTTTTTTTTAATATACCTTAGATAAGAATTAAACAAGAGATATCAGTGTTATGACATTTTAAATGATTTTCTTGAATTTATAATACATCTAGATAATTTTAGTCTTAAAAAACCTATCGTAAATATTACTTTCGTTTCATTGCATCATTACAAAAATATTAATGTTAGGTTTTCTAATGATTTTGATTGAGGATTATGACCTCTTAAACATTACACCAGAACTCAAAAGACAAGTTCTATCAAAATTTGTTGACAATCAACATATAGATAAGCCATATACATTTTGGAGTCATGGACTAGTATCCCATCAAAGTACCGAAATTTCTACAACCGGTTTTACGTTACGGCCCCGCGCTTCTATTATAAAGAAACCAATCAGGCAAGAGGATGAGAAAAAAAAAACCTTCTTTCGTATATAGCAAAACTTTCAAATATTCTCTTGATGATTTGTTGGAGGAATAAAGGGGCATAACAAAAAAAGAAAACCGAAAGTATAATGTGAAAAAAATGTTTTCAATAGAGGACATTTGCAATCATATGCAATTTTCAAATGAATAGTGTGGGAAACAAAATTTATCAAATATCGTTACATATATATTGATGCAAGAAAGGTATACACAGTTGTAATAATTGTTTCCAATTTTTCTACTTTCACCTTATCTCTATGAACCGAAACATTAACGCGCTTATGGGTGACCCAGAAAATATATGTCTCTCACGGGTGAATATAAATATTTCGATTCACTTATAGAAAGTATTTCTTTGAATTATTGATATTTAAGAAGAAAAACAAGAAGAAGCAGGGTCAATGCTCCAAAGAATATGTGATAAATGTCTAATAAGCTTTTTTTTTTATCGAATCCCAAGATTCACGGCCCAATGATTGCACAATGTCTATCAATATTAGAATGAAATAGCACTTTTTTACCCCCACCCCTTCTCATCTCTAAGGCAATCAAAAGCGGAAGAAAATTCCAAGGATAGAAAACAAAAGATTTAGAAGAAAAAAAAATGATTCAATTGCGATAATCTTTTTTAATTCGTTATCAAACGTATTTCACAAAACGTTTCATGGGACTGGTTTATCTGAACAAGCACACCTGCCAACATGGCTTCCGCGGTCCCGTCATGGCTGGTCCCAGCAGCCATGTTTGATCAGAAATTCTCCTTGGGATTCAGAGAACATTATATATTCGAAAAAGATCATCAAAATGATGAAAAGAAACTAAAAATTCTGAATTATTAAATTCTTTTTACCTTAACTGTAAAAAAAGAGATGAGTGTTTTTCTTTTTAATCCTCTAGAATGATCATCTTGATGATGAAATTATTGGAAACCATTTGAAAAAATACTTCCAAAATTTTGGTATCCCAAAATTTTATTGATGGTATCAAAGTTGGCTTCTTTTGATCTCGTTATGGGAAACCATTTCACTTACACATGAAAACACATACACACACAGACACAGTTACACTTACACTTATGGTTCACCTTGGCACTATGATTTCCACTAAATGTTAACTGTAGCACATATTTGATTAAAAAAATCACTATCTATTTTTTTTTTCCTATTGTTTTGCAAAAGTTGGGAATTGTTGAAATGAGCGCGGTTTTTAACTGCGTGTTGGACGCCGTCAGGTAGGCTTCTCCGCACACCCACGCAGGTGAGGCCTCACGCTCACTCTACACGCACACACCACAAAATACACTATACTACAAACAGCAACTCGAAAGAAACTCACGGGGAGTCTTTCCATTTGGCGGCCGCTAGTAGCGCTGCTGCTGGATGCTGAGCGGCGTTTCTCTGTCTCACTTTGACTCTTGCCTGCGTTTGAATTCCCTTTGAAGAAAAGAAAGAGGAGAAGAGAAAGAGGGATAAAAACCAAGGTAACCCACCTGAGAGAGAGACAAGGAGAGATCCTCTATATATATATATATGTACTATGCCAACCTCGTGCAGGTTGAACAGGAGGTTTTTTTTCTTTTTCTTTTTCTTCCCGAAGCGGCCGAATGGTATGAGAAACAGGTGCGGATCAAAAAAGTGATGTGCCCCTGATTCAGTGGCATCTAAAAAAACCAGCTGCTTTTGTTTCCCCTGTCTATATATATATATATCCGAGATCAAGCTGTTACGGTAGTAAAACTAAAGGGAAGAAAAAAAACTTCTGATAATTTGACTATGAACCCTTCGGGGGGGGGGGGGGGGGATATTGAAGAATTCTTGTAATTCGGATTCTGGAGTGATTATTTTTCACGTGAAGAATATACTGAATGAAGAAAAATGAATATTATACTTACTAAACCTGAAGGTAATTTTTGTTTACACGACTACCCAAGCAGCACGGTATATCCCTTGAATATCACTGTGGAATATTCCCATAATCTTCCAGGAAAATCAAAATGTCCGCATCATGGGAATATTCCACAGTGACATTCAGGGTATATTCCAGTGACATTGAGGGGAATATTAAAGGGAAATATTCCAGTGATATTGAGGGAATATTCCACGGTTATATTGAATTTTTTTTAAGTGTTGAAATAATAGAAATATCCCTAACAGCATCCGGATATTTAGGATATCCTACAGACGTCCCATGGATAACCGACGATTAGGATATCCATAGGATCTCCCAAGGATATCCGTTAATATCCTATGAATATCCTAGGGATAACCTAATTTCCGGATACGAGTAGGATGTCCGTCGGATATCTTAAAATATCCGTTGCTGTTATAGGGATATTATAAATTGTTATTTGAATAAGCAGGAAGATTAAAAACACATTAAAAAAAAATTCAATGTAACCGTGGAATATTCCCTCAATATCATTGGAATATTCCCTCAATATCATTGGAATATTTCCACAATATCACCTGAATATCCCCTTAATGTCACTGGAATATTCCATGAAATGTCACCGAGGAATATTCCCCTCAATGTCACTGGAATATACCCTGAATGTCACTATGGAATATTCCCATGATGCAGACATTTTGATTTTCCTATAGAAGATCATGAGAATACTCCACTGTGGTATTCAACGGATATTCAGGGAATATCTGCTTGGGATACTTTTAATCTGTAGTGTTAACAATATATTACTAAAACAAATTGTTAGTGCAACAATACAGATTTAAAGTAGTGAGAAAACAAAAAATTCGAAAAATAAACAAATCTTATTAATAATTTGATTAGTAAATGAATGTTTGTTTACATTTTCGACCACTTTGTTGACAATCAATTTAATCCATTTTTCTATATTGCAAACAGCAAATTTTTCGTTGAAATATTTAGCTACATAAATACAAACAAACTTTCGGTGGACCTTAACAAGACTCCACTAAAAGTTTGTAGACATATTCTGAGACATTCAGCGGACTCTCAATTTTAAAATCTGTATTGTTCATATGAAAAATATTGTTTATTATACCGCTTAATGGTTAATTATATCATCAATTAGTAGAAAATTGATTCTTGCCAGTGATTTTGATTTAAGAAATATTATTGAATTCAAAAAAAAAAAAAATAAAGAAAATGGTATGTATATATATATTGTGGTACCAGTAGGAAGAAAATTTTCTATCCGGCACTGAGACAAGATTGAAGGTTGGTGGGTAGAGTGTGGAGGGAGCGGTCGGTGTATACCCCGCTAGCCAGAGGCACTCAACGAGGAGATCGAGACTTGGTCTCTCTTGGCGGCAGCCGCCGACGCCCAGCCGGTTTTACACAGTAAAACCCGCGATCTTGCTCTTCTAAAAGCTGATCTAAACTATATATGTGTTCGAAAAGTTCGCCCTCCCTCCCTCCCTCCCCTTTTGACTTCATCCTTTACCACTGGCTTTAGAATTCTCTTGATCAATCTGTATAGACTATATAAGAGTTGTTCTCGTGCAGAATCAGGCTACTGACCTCCGACAATCATCTCTCTTATATATACATATATATATGCGGCATTATAATGATTCAAATCATTCTTGATTGATCATCGCTCAAAATTGTCATTTATGTATCTATAATATATATATATTTCGATATTTTATATCAAAAGGGGGGAAAAGTAGAAAGGACACAGAAACATTTATTGCGGAATCAGGTAAACCATGTTCGTAAGCGAGACAAGTGTCACACACGATGACCGACTGGTGTTACGTACTACCCACGAGAACCGCAAGTAATTTAAAACTTCATGATTCAGGTTTACAAAAAAAAATATTCTAGCAATTTTTTCAGTTATCATTTTTGATTTAGAAATTTTGAAATTCGAAACAGGACCTGCGCTAATACAATATAGCAATAATGTATAAAAAAAAAATTAGAAAATTGTAATGATGAGTCAATTCTCTAAATTTGATCGAATAAGTGAGAGTTTTCTGATAAATTAGTTGGAATTAGCAACTGAATCAGTTCAGTAAGATTACCACTGAAATTACTGATTCAAACAGTCAAATTTGCTTTATCATTAATCGGTAAAACAGTCAAATCTGCTTTATCATTAATCGGTAAAAACAGTCAAATCTGCTTTATCATTAATTGGTAAAACAGTCAAATCTACTTTATCATGATCGGTAAAACAGATTTGCAGGTTCAATCAGTAAGAAATTCTACTAATTTTCAGTGAAACATATAGTGAAAATTTTACTTTCAGTAGACAAAATAAGTCCGATTTAATATAAGGGAAAACTTTTATTAAAGTGGTTCAATTCAAATCAAAATTTTCAAAAGAAACACAAATCTTCAAACATATATTTTGCTTTTAAACCCGTTCTTTATATTGTATATGTAACCGCAAAGAATAGATATATATTTTTGTTATGACGAATATAATCAATCTTGAATATATATGTAGTCGGTACAAAACTCGACATCACAAAAGATGATCAATCATTCAAAAATGTAAACTTGATTCTAATCACATATGTATATAGCATATATACATAATCTTATAGGATCTTTATACCGAATTACAATTTTAATATATAATACTTAACATGTGATTTATAAAGGCACTCGAAAAATTCATTAGAACAAAGAAAACTTAATCTCTAAATCTGCGAATTAGTAATTTTCTACTAATCAAAAAGTGCGTATTCGTTTACCAATTGAATTAGTAACAGTTTTGACTAATTTTTAGTAAAAAAAACTACTAATTGCTAGTAGAAAACTACTAATTCATGGAATAAATCGGCTTACTAATTTGAATTAGTAAAAAATACGATTTATTCCATGAATTAGTAGTTTTCTACTAGCAATTAGTAGTTTTTTTTTACTAAAAATTAGTCAAAACTGTTACTAATTCAATTGGTAAACGAATACGCACTCTTTCATTAGTAGAAAACTACTAATTCATGGAGTAAATCGTATTTTTTACTATTTCAAATTAGTAATCCGATTTATTCCATGAATTAGTAGTTTTCTATTAGCAATTAGTAGTTTTTTTTATTAAAAATTAGTCAAAACTGTTACTAATTCAATTGGTAAACGAATACGCACTCTTTCATTAGTTGAAAACTACTAATTCAGATTTAGAGATATTAAAAAAATATTTATTTGAATCAAATAAAAATTTTGTTTGAAGTAACCAAAAAATTGGTTATATTTACCAAAACTTTTCTTTGAGTATATTATAATGTATAAATGATAAAGAATTTTGTTCGAAAAAATTTAAATGTATATATCTTTTTATAAAAATATATATAATGAAGTAACTTGTTGACGTTTTCTTTTTTTATTCTAAAATTTTGAAATTCATCAATTTTTAAATGAATCGAAGAGTTAATAAATCATATTGTATATTGGCTTTCAGTGCTTTATATACATTGTAATATATATAATCGAATTCATTTTGGAAAAACGGTACAAAAAATACATATATGTATATATGGTGGCATCATCATGATTCATCGATATATTCAAAAGAGCAATGAGAAAATTTTTTGATAATGACCAAACAGAAAATGGAAATTTTTTTGTATATATATATATATATTTATAATAACAAAATCTTGACATATGTGACAACAGAATTTCATCATGATGAAATGACTGAATATATATTTCTATATCAAAAATTGATTACTGGCACGGTACTGTAATTTCTCTGACAATTTCTGGTAGGTACACGGAGAAAAATGGAAAAACGAATAAAGTAACACTTTTACTATATATTTTAAAAGTAAAACCGGAACTGTGCGCAGTTTCTGCGCATTTCTATCAATTTTTACTACAGAAATAGTAAAATTGACTCCGAAAATATAGTAAAAATTATTCCGGACATAGTAAATTTTACTATATTTCCAAAGTAAAAATTGCCCAAAAAACTGCGCAGAAACTGCGGACAGTTTCGGTTTTACTTTTAAAGTATAGTAAAATTTACTTTATTCGATTTTCCATTTTTCTCCGTGATAAAATAAAAGGTAACGTATAAGGAAAAATAAGGTAAAGTTTTAAAAAGATTTTTGTAACTATAACAGGTGTGCAACGTAAATATTTTGACCTTTTATATATAGTATATATACAAATTGAATGTATACGCGAAAAAGTGGTTTATCTCTCTCTCTCTCTCTCTCTCTCTCTCTCTCTCTCTCTCTCTCTCTCTCTCTCTCTCTCTCTCTCTCTCTCTCTCTCTCTCTCTCACACTACTTTGGAAATAAATTCCTGTCAAGATCCACCTGGTGGCTCGTTGAATTTCTTTTGTGTTCCTCTGCACCTACTTACATTTCTTTTTCCTTCTGCGCTTCTGCTCATGACTCTTCTCTTTTTCTATACTTACGCGAGGCGCAAG